GACAGATAGGTAGTCCAAGATACATTCAGAGAGCATCTTGGGGAATAGAATGACACACTGCCTAGGTGCCCAAGTACCAATTAGCCCAGATGGATATTGGGAGGGGTGTGACTCTATTACCCCTTTGTTGGTAGGAGGCACCCATGACCCCGGTGTTCCGAGCAGGCAGGATTTTCGCCTGACAAGATCTTTTAGGGACAGTTAAAAGCTGAGAGTATTTCTCTGACACTGACAAATGAATACAATTTTATTCCAGATTGTGTTAAAGTACACCTGTAGGATAATGTATCTAAAAATGTCTCTCAATACCTCCCCTGTGAGTGATAATGTGAGAAATCAAAATTAAAAGAAAGTAGACTAAAAATGTTGTGATTTTAATTCTCAAGTTTTAAGTAATTTACCCTCTGAATTAGATTTTATATGTCTGTGAAGCAGTGTTTCCTTTACAATTGTTGTTCTGCTGTTTTTTTTTAAATTTCTAACTTCCCTTAACACTTGCTCACTCTGTTTTTCATCATTTTATTTGTGTTTATTTTATTTCTTTAATATCCTCCGTTTTATCAGGAGAATGTGAGACAAATCTTTAGAACTAGCAAAAACTACCCCCTCCCAAACAAAGAGACAGAAAATTAAACAAATTAAAAGTTGAAGGATAGTCCCTTATGTAATTTCTTAGTCCAACTGAGAAGGGCTTTGAGGATAGTATAGATATTGTGTTATGACATCTCCTTAACCCCAAAGACCTTGGTATGTGAGTCGCATCCCTTTTATTGGTGAAAGGTCGATAAAGTACAGTACCAGGAACATCAACAGTGACAACAATAACAAAGACATAGAAAATCCAACAAAATGAGAAGTGAATATAAAATGTGTTTTTTTTTAATTATGAAAAATAAGAGGCCCCTTATGTCAATAAAAGTCTATCTGTGAAAGGGACCTTGGAAAATAGATATTATGACACCTCCTTAACCCAAGAAGGTCTTGGTATGTGAGTTGCGTCCCTTTTATTGATGAGAGGTCGCAAAAGGTCAGAACATTACCAGGAACATTAGAACTACCAGCAAAGTACACAGTATGCTTTTCATCCGGAAGCAGGACTATAAATTGACGAGAAATTACATTGTATTGTTCTTATTTCTCCCTCTTCCCCCTCCCCCTCCCTCCTCCCTCCTCCCCCTTCCTCCTCCCCCTCCCTCCTCCCCCTCCCTCCAGCAGTTGTACTGGATTTACTTATATTTGTCAAATAAATTTTCTAACACATTCTTTAACCTGTCTCCTATAGATTTCTGTTCTCTTCTGCTTCCTTTTCTCTATTCCTAAGGACATTCTACAACTTGACAAACATCCTTGAACACCACCAATTTCATGTCACTTAATTCATGACAAGTTATAGCTGATGATATCATACATCAGTATATTTTGTATTGGTGTGATAAATCTTGTTTCTCAGCTATAAACCCAATTCATATGACCTTGGTTGCAATGATACTAATCACATAAGTAGCCCCAATTGCTCCCCAAACCCTTGGTATACTATGGGTTGCGTTTATCGACCAGATTTTTGGCTAGAATCAGGTTTCTCAAACGTCTTTCAGGCAAATTTAGAAGGTGATAAACGCAAAGCCTTTTTTAAAGGGCTTTAGATATGGGCATATCTAAAGACGCAAAAAGGTGTGTTTTGTATGTGACATCAAGCGCGTAGCCAGGATTTCATTTTAGGGGGGCGGTAATGAGCACGCGAAGCGTGCGAATCACTTACAGAGCGCGCAAAGCGCGCTCCCTAGGGGGGTGGGTGCAGGAAGGGGGGAGTTTCCCCCCTCCCGCGCGGAAGCTTTGAAAGAAGACGATTCGTTGTACCTTTCTCGACTCATAATCCTTGTCTGAATTCAGTCCCTCCCCCCTCTCACGCGAAGCTTTGACGTTTCATTAAACTATTAGAGAAAAGAGACGATTCGTTGTACCTAATTTCCCGACTCATAATCCTTATCTGTATTCAGTCCCCTTCCCGCGCGAAGCGCGGAAGCTTTGAAAGAAGACGATTCGTTGTTCTTTTCTCGACTCATAATCCTTGTCTGAATTTAGTCCCTCCCCCCTCTCACGTGAAGCTTTGACGTTTTATTAAATTATTAGAGAAAGAAGACCATTCGTTGTAACTTTCCCGACCCTTAATCCTAAACTTGAACTCAGTTTCCCCTTCCCGCGCGAAGCGAGGAAGCTTTGATGATTCGTTGTACCGTTCTCGACTCCTTTTCCCTTTTTCTTCCTACATCCTCTTTTTTTTTTCTTCTCCTCTTTCTCTCTCTTTTTTTTTTGGCCGGCGTTTTTTTTTTTTTGGGGGGGGGGGGCGACCGCCCCCACCGCCCCCCCTGGCTACGCGCCTGTGTGACATACAGCCAGAATCACGTTTCTGAGAGATCGATAAACGCAAAGCTCCCATGCAAATCAAGATCGTATAGTGGGGTTCAATAGTGGGATACGATATGTACATATCTAGTGGCAAGCCCGATAAACGCGCCCTATGTCTGTTGAGAGCTAAAGGGGCATCAACTCTGTTACGGAATATAGAAGGGATGTCAGTAAAAAGTAGCTTTGCTGTATTACTGATTAAGAAATGGGTGTGGTTGTGGTGGGAATCAATTTTAAAATCATAAACTACGGAAAGGAACTGAACCAGTATGTTAAAAATTAAAAAGGGAGAAGGGAGATAGATACATAGATAAATAAATAGAGAGAGAGAGAGAGAGAGAGAGAGAAAGAGAGAGAGAGAGAGAGAGATGGGGCAGAGAGAGTGAGAGAGAGAAAGAAACAAAAAGACAGAGAGACAGAGAGTGAGAGACAGAGAGAGAAAGAGTGAGAGACAGACACACAGACAGACAGACAGACAGACAAACAGAGAGAGGGGGAAGGAGGATAAATAAATGAAAAGGGAGCAAGACGGATTGAATACAGGGGGGGGGGGGGGGGGGAGAGAGAAAAGGAAACAGTAGAAAGATGGAGTGTTGCAAATGAGGGGTGAAAGCTATCAATATATCCAATAATGATGACATATTTTCATCGTTTTCTCCTGTATTCTTTTCATTCATTGTCTTCCCGCATACCAAAGATATCAAATTGTGATTCAATGATGCCATAGTTCATAGTCAGTTAATGGTAATGTATTAGGTACTCTGCCCAAGTCATCCGTTAATGTCGCATTGTCCCTATTGTATTCTCTATTGAGGGGCAGAAGGCCATTAGTCCTATGAAATATGATATGAGATAATGACCTTTTGATGCTCAAGATATTGCATTACCAACCACTGTGTATTAGTCAATTTGTCAGCTGCCAGCAAAAAAGGCATTACTAGCAAAATTATGACCTTCTTGCAGGGAGGTGATAAATCGTCCAAAACACAATTGCAATGAATTTCCGAAAACAAACTCATGTGGAAAATGTGCACACATTGTGTGCGGGTGAGCCTGAATCCGATGACCGGGGTAATAATATATCTGTAAAGCGCTTAGGCACATCGTTGGATCGGTGTATTGAGCGCTATATAAAAAAAACAGATTATTATTATTATTATTATTAATGTTCACACATTTCAAAAGGTGTTAATGCTATTGAAATTGCTTTTTCTTTTAAATTTGTTGTTGTTGTTGTTTCCCTTGCTTGAAAAGTGTTTTTTTTACTGAAAGCTGTTCTAGTGAAGACTATCTTCCCAGGGAAGTTTCACATATTTTACTAGGTGGACTGCTTCTTTTATTTCCTTGAGTGGTCTTTATATAAAGGTATGATTGCAGTCGCATTCATGCCCTAACTTCTAGCAGTTTGGCAGAGCTTTGCACAGGATGATAAGGGTCTCCGCTTGCTTGGGTCCCTCACCTGCAAACAAGCTAGCCAACCCTCACAATAGAATGGATACAAAATATCGGAAGTTCAGGCCGCGATTGTTTTCTCTCGCTGTTTTGCTGCTAATTGTGATGAATGGATGGGCTGCACGACCCAGCGGCCCGGGCAAACATTTACTCAAAATTAGCGCCCGATTCGTCACTTGCTTTGGGACCGGGTTGCTTTCTGTGTGCATAAGAGCATGTTAGCTGGGCAGTGTGTTTTTTGTCTCCCTTTTTATTGGCCTACTAACCCTCCCCCTTTTTGGTGGTGAGTATGTAAAGACCTTGCTTCTGTTGAGCTGATAAGATTGAATTAGAAGGATAGGGAGATAGAGAAGGGAAAGATAGAAAGAAAAGAGAAGTAGAGAAAGAGAGAATGGGTAAGATGGAATAAAAAGAAGAAGAAGAGAGAGAGAGAGAGAGGAGAAAGAAAGAAAAAGAAAGAGAAAAAGAGAGGGGGTATTGAAAATGCAGTATAGAGAGACTTAAAAGAGAAAATTATTTTGAGAATAAGAAAAAAGATAAATGTCAATGAAATATACGAAATAATTGTGATACCTAGTCTCCTAGGGAAACCCTATCTTAAAAGGCATTCAAATGGGAAAATATTGAATCATTTGTTATGCAATGTGGAATCATTTGTATCATACATTCAAATATTCTTATGTTTAATTCGCACAGAAGGACATAAAACCAGAGAAATACTACAAAAAAAAATTTAATGTGTGATTGTGGAAAGAAAAAATAAAATAAACAAAATAGTCTTAATTGGTTAAGACTTTCCTCATTCAATAAACCATTCACAGAATTATAAAGGATTTGAATCACCACAGCAGTGATTCTGTAGTAGTAGACTACAATGTGTACATTGTGAATGCTTTTTCATTTTTTTAACCAAGTTTTAATTTCAATGTATTTTATATAGGAAATTCTAATCTGAAAGTCTAATCTCTAAATGTAGTACATAAGAAAAATCAGACCAGCTGTTAACTTGAATATGTCTGCTGTAAAGTTGTGTCACAATTTTTTAATTATAAGATTTTGAAGTATATTGAGTCTATGAACAGTTAAAACAGTTACATTACTTTCAGTTAATATTTCAAAAGTGTGTAAGAAAGAGGGAGAGAGAGAGAGAGAGAGAGAGAGAGGGAGAAAGGTAGAACTGTATTGAAGAACTTTACTACTGTAAATGGTAACTGAGGAGAGAGACACCCAGAGAGAGAGAGATAGAGAGAGAAGTATATGAACCAAGATGTGACTTCCTTCCACACACTTGTCACTGGACTTGCAGCTTTGCTCTCTGATTGGCTGATAAAGGATGTCAATCATCCTATGAATATTCATGAGTCCATGCTGGGTGCACACACATGGACACACACCCAACACACAAGCATTTATCTCTTCCAGCCAATAGCCACAGAGATATAACACATATCCCGTTTGAGAGGCACACCAATATGATTGGAAAGTTATTTTAACTTCCTGTCTCCAACTTTGGAAAATATACTCCAGGTTCCAAACGAGGGGGATAACTTTATTACTTTTTTTCGGGGAGTACAGGGCTGGAAATACTCACTTTTGATCCACCAGGTATGAAAAAGAAGACCTACCTTGTTTGTTTTAGAGCCAAAGGAGGACCATAGGTGTTGTTTACGAGTTAGCTGTGTACTATTGAGATTGTGATCTTAATGAGATAGGCAAACAGTCAAACCATATTGCTTCAAGACAAAAGGAATAAAACTGCTTTCTTGTCAAAAGGGGGCGGAGATATCGTGTCATCGGATGAACGCTGATCTAAGAAGGCTCTCTGGATGTTGGACTAGATACCACGGACAGACGGACCCATCATTGGGGTGATAATGTCGTAATTAGGAGATTGACGCGGCAAAGATAACGACTCCTGATTGGCAAATGCACTTATGCATATTTTGTTTCTCCAACCAGATTTATTCATGACTCAGAGCCGGAGAGTCTTGGGATAGCCCGTATGGTCATCCTTTCTGGATTTGATATTAAACCGAGATCGCAAGTACCCACGTCACATGTCATTCAAGGGTTGCCTATCCCCAATGTCGATCTGCCGCAGCTGAATTGCGCCACCACAGTTTCCTTATCGTACTTCTGATGACCACCCTTCATCCTAACACTACGCAAGCTTCGGGAAGTGGAGGAAAAAACATAACGTGCTGATTATTTTTAGCAACTCTGATTTGTTTTCTTGTCGGAGAAGAACTATATTGCTGATGATTATTGTGATCGCGTCTCACACGATATCTGTCCTTGGTAGGTAGCTATACCTCAACCTTCGATCTCTTTCAAGGTTTACTCCTCTCGTAGAAGCCGTCATTCGGTCAGAGCGCTCAGATATCGAAACGCTATCCACGATATCAAGACCAATTCATCAAATCCGTAATAGCTTCATTGCATTGTAAGCTACTCTTGTTTTTCCAAACATCCGCAGTTGGCGTCGCGTTCTTCACATCGATTCATGACTGCTTCTAGCGTACACCGCCCAACTCTCCACTGCAGCTTCTACGGCAGCCATTGTCTGAGACAACCACGGTTCGCCCACTGTTTTTCCGCATCAAACCTTCATTTTGTCAGAAGCGCTTTGTGGCTTTGACTTCTTCATCTTCGTCTCTCCCGTTTCCTTCATTTCAAATCTGCCAAACTTGAGAATTTCTTCTGAAAAAGTGATATCAGTCAATCCCAAAGCTAGATCGTCACTCGCTAACCTCGATATCATCATCGTTTTATTTTCCAAGCTGGCAGTAGCTTCTTCAGTTTGATCCTTACACATTCTCATCTTCTAGAATTGGTGCTGTAAATTCTAAAACAAACCTCGGACAAAAAATCTCCTTCAGCCAGAAAAACGAAAAAGAGAATCTGAGATTTTTGTTTCCTCCATCTTGACGATATCCTCAAGGAAAATTGTATCGTATCTTGGATGTTGAGGAACCATCGTCAACCATGGATGCAGGATCGATGTCTATGTATTACAGCTGGCAGCTCTACCTCTCTGCTTGCAGGGACCCTCAGCTCTATCTATGGCACAAAGGTAAAGCCAATCGCCTTTTATTTAAAAATCATTTCTATCTACCACAAGCCCAAAAATGGTACAGTAAGAGAATTTCTTGGAATGGACTCTTTTCTCATTTCTCTTCACCCATTTTGGAATTATAATTTTGTAGAATTAAGTTTGCTTGCACCATCCCATTTTTACCACCAACTTTGAATACCACAAACGGTATCTATCTTTATATTGCTGGCAGCTTTTATAGCACACATCAGTTTGTCTCTGGGCAGTTTTTAGAGTCGTGAAGAGAACTAAAAGTTGATCGAGCTAACTACAAATTAGATTTGGTACATAAAGGAGAACAAAATAGGTATTTAGAAGAGAGCAAAATTTGCATCTGTCTCTTCTCATGCATTCAATTATTTCCAAGAATTATTGAAAATAGATTCCTCTTAAAAAATATAGAGTAATGACAGAGCATGCTTTTTAGCAACTTTCTTGAAAATGCAATGACAGAACAGAAAAAATTAACATCAGTGGATTTATAGTAAAAAAATTGGGCTTTGCAGAAATCGGGACATTTTAGAAAATATACTCGATGAACAGGCTTAGGATGTGAGAGGGTTTTACTCCAATGACTTGAGTCTTCCAGTAATTAGAGGATTTATATGTATTTGTTCGGGATATAGAAAATATTGTAAAGCTTTACAAGTTGAAACATAAAATAGATAAAAACAAAAAGGATCCATACTTCTTCCTCAAAGCACACTCTACATACTCTATATACACTGAAATTATTTCTTTCCTGATGTAAACAAATTGGAAGGATCATATTTTCTGTCATGCATTATTTTGTAAGCAAAATGTTGCTATTGTGAAAGCTGAATCAACCTGAATATTGAACTCTTGAAACTCTCTTTGAGGCCAAATCAGTTTTTTTTAGACATAAACAAGTATAGTTTCCCCCTTTTATATATTTTTCACTATATTGAAGAGAACACTGACCTGGGAAGGACAGAATTAATTGTTAATCAAAGACTTCCCCCGTCCGACCTGCAGAAACGGTGGCTGGGTGGAAGTGGTAGTGTATAGAGGGGGCAAACAAAGGAAGCTCCAGTGGGCTAGGCCAGGCAGGCAGATCCGGTGGCGACCTGCTAAGTGATTGCTCTCCCTCAGCTGCAGTTTACTGATAATAATCGGACGGGGGACAATAAGCTAACTGTTTTATTGGAAGGAAAAAGGGTGCAAGGAACTGTTAATTATATAATTTAGAAGAAAGGTACTTTCTTGAGTTTATGTGGCTTTGGGTCATTACTATGAAATTAAGAGTTTTTTGTCAATCCTAATTTTCCCTCCAAGACCTTTTTCAAAATGCTCACTAGGTTTCTGTCTTTTTCTGTAATGCTGCTTATTCTCTTAACAATTTTTGGGCATTGTATTTTCATACTTTTTAAGATGGAAAATTTCTTTTCTTTTCTCTCTTCCAAATCATTTACATTCATTTAAATTTCTTCCTTTTAAGGTCAGTAATTTTAGAGTTGTTAATGACACATTTTTTTGTCAACAATATATATTTTTTTAAAGGAAATTGAGAACAATCAATTCACTGCTACAGGTTGTGTTCTTTCCTCGTAGAATTTTTTAATGATTAATTTAGCTACATTATTAATTCTTGTTATTTATAGCTTTCTGGATTAATTTTCAGAATTAGGAATATGTTGATTATACACAACATGGTAGAAAATCTGATCTATATCAATTTCATTCATTGGATATTGAGAAAGGTGGCATTACTATATACCAGCAGCATTCTTTGTCTTCTTTCTTTCTTTAAAAAACCCCAACAAAACCATGTGGTTCTTAAGATTCTATTTAAGAAACCAACATTACTTAATCTAATCAACAATTACACATAATGAGCTTATAGAAGGGTATCAACATAATCCCTAATTGCAGACTGCATTGAGCAGAAAACCATACCTATTCTTCTACAAGTTGTTCTTTGCTTTATAAATCTTTTCTCCTCTCTTTCTCTTTGCACTTGACCATAAATAACCCCGGCTTGCAGCCAGTTTCTGGTCTTAGCTTTAAGATTAACCTGTCTTTTCCTTTCTTCTTGTTGTGGGTATTGGAAGCTGTTAACTGTTGGAAGCCAAGTGCTGAAAGGCTTTATTATCAGCATGAGTCTCAAGAGACAGATTAGACCACGACTTAACAAAAAAAAGGACTTACTGAGGTGTTAATAATGGTTTAGGATTTAAATGAATGAATAGATCCGTCAACAGGTACTCAGATCAGTTAAGCTAACGAAAGCTAATGTGATTAGACATTTATATAGGGTGTAAAAAGGCCCTCTTATAGGTGTAATAAAAAAGATCTTTGGACATTGGTGAAAGCATCATATTTTTTTGAAAAATGTGTAATTATTATAGTACTCTAGGTTAATTGATTTGAATTCAAAAGGTTTGTGGATTTGAAGAAAAGAAATCAAAATAGCAGCTAGTTTACAAGTTTGGTAAATTGCAAAAGTAAGTGTTCAATTAACTTTACTTGGATAAGTGGATGTAAATATAGTACTTTTTATGAAAAGAAGCTAAGTTTGTCATGAAATTTCGAGGAGGTAGAAAATTTCAGTTATGACTTGGTTTATACCAAAATGTAGGTCTGAAAAAAAAAAAAAGAATTTTGAGTGAAGAAAATATTTCAACATATGGAATGGATTATGATGAGTTTATTCATCATTTTTATTTGTGTATTTCAATGTAATTGTAGAATAAACATGTAGTTTTCTTATTAAAGAATACATAAGGCTACAAAATTTCAAGATATTTTTGGTGCAGTCACTTGCAAATGTCTTGCAACAAGACAAATGCTTTAAATATTTCCCTGCTCATGAAGAGGCAGCTAGTGGGAGATACCAGATGCTGCCAGAATTCCAGCCCTACAGCTCTGGGGGAGTTTGGGTCAGCATTAGGGTAGTCATGTTTGCTGCTTTTGGAGAAATTACTGGTGCAATTCGAACAAGATTTTTGAGCTTAGTCAATTAATTAATCTCTTTGATTTACACAATTGCATTGATATAATCAATTTAAGATAAGTATAAGCATTCTGTAGAAGAAATGTAAGAGATAATCCCTATTTAAACACTTTTGGTTGAAACAACTGTATTTTTCAAGGCATTTTGTGAAAGAGAGGATGATTTTTCTTCAGTTTTCATAATAATGAGAAAGGGATTTGTGGAGTGTATCTTTGTTTCCATCTCTATGTTATATCATCCTGTTAGAACCAGAAGGGTGTTAACTGAATGTTGAAATGAATAGGTTAACTTCTTTCTGGCTCCAAGCAGATGTCATTCTCCCCTCTTCTTCATTAATTAAATATCTTTTCAAATATAAAAACAAAAAAAATCCAGTTTAGTATTCTATATCCTGTTATTAATGAATATTTCATGACAGTTTAAAATAACTGATTTTTTAATAATTTTCCTAAACAGACAATTTTATCAATCTTTTAAAACTAATGCTTTGTCAGTCAGTTGAAGAGAGAAACAGAAAATTTGGAACAAACTATTATAGGTAATACATTTTTGTTTTATTATATTGAAGTATTGAATAATAATTATAAATTAATGCATTATTAACAAAAGCAAAAATCAAAGTCTATTGTTAATTAAGCTGTTTAAGAATATTTTCTTTCATTGGTTTCTTGAAATTATATTGCATATTTAGCATGGTAATATGCACACACCATATTCTTTTAATCTTAAAACTTAGTGGTTATGTGACAAAAGAAAGAAACCTGTTTTATTATATTGAAGTATTGAATAATAATTATAAATTAATGCATTATTAACAAAAGCAAAAATCAAAGTCTATTGTTAATTAAGCTGTTTAAGAATATTTTCTTTCATTGGTTTCTTGAAATTATATTGCATATTTAGCATGGTAATATGCATACACCATATTTTTTTAATCTTAAAACTTAGTGGTTATGTGACAAAAGAAAGAAACCTGTTTGCTTGAATAAAATGAATTGAAAATGAATCTTCATCTTAAAATAGATTATAGATTTTATAAAATCATGCTATAGAAATTACAAATATTTGGACACTCAGAACTCGTTCTGCTTTGACAAGAATTCCTTAAATGCATCGGTTAACATATAATAATAATATTTTGCTCTTATATAGCGCTTAATACATCTACGATGTTTCTAAGCGCTTTACAGATATGCTTATATTTTTACGAAATATATTCACATCACCAGAACCATCCCTCATAATTCATAAACAATTTGATGCATTACTCCAAAGGATTATTATTTTGATGGTTCATACTGCTGAAAATGAAATAGAGTTCACAGTTCTAAAAAATCAACTAATATTCAAAATTCTGAAAAATTAAATAGGGTCCATTATTCAAAAGGCTTCTATTTCTGAAAATGATACAGGGTTCTATTTAGTTATGAATCCTCCGAAAAGTCCGAAGTATGAAACTCTTTTTTTCGTTATCACAATTTTGAACCCTTCTCAGTTAACTTTTGGAATTGAATAGAATTTGATCACAAATTGTATCAGAACCTTTAGAATTATGAATCTTCAGAACAATGAACTTTTTCGACGTGTAACAAACCTATGGAAAAGGACTTATAACCTCTGGTATGTAAGTACCAGGATGATTAGTTAATGTGATCTCAATGTAACACTACCGTTTGGTAAACAGATAGGGGGAAACCCTCATTCCGTTTTCTTATTGTAATGTGTCAGACATGCATGTACCCTCACAAGTTTTCTTGATTCATTTGACCGTGACACCGTTCTATATCCCCAGGGGGACCTGCCAGGCCAAACAGGCCCAATGGATAAGGTTTTTTTTATGTGAGCATACCAGATAAAATAATGACTTTACAAAATATATTAATGAGAGTTCCAGTGCTACTGGCGTGATCAACCAACTCTTCAGTTGCCGATTGAAGCATCTTCATTTTTAACGCATCCAGGTGCAGAATTCTTACTTGAATAGGATCAAGAATAGATGTTTGAA